ATTTTAAAAAAGGAAACACAAATAAAAGTGAGAGTGGCAGAATATGGCCTGTGTTTATCTCTGTGTGTAGGTAGTCCTTGTGTATTTATAGGCAACTTTACTTAAAAATACATGAATCAATTTGGACATTTTCTACCTTGCTGCCTACGTCTCTCTCTTGGTAATGATTCTCATGCCCAACTCTCCCAGAAAATTCAGCAATGCAGGATTCCCGTGTACTGCTAGGACATATCTTTTGTAGAAAGTTGACCCCCCCCAAATTTTAAGTCCCCATGCTTTGAAATATGGCAACAGATTTTTTTTTTTTTGGGTGAAATGTTTCTAAAGTTTCTAAATGTTGAAATCATTTAGGCCCCTAGTTTTGCTCTCTGTAAAGGGTAATAATCTTCTGGTTTGCAATCAGGAAGAAAAAAGAATTAACCCAGAGGTAGACTTGGAGGGAAAGTTTGAGATGAACTGGTTCAAGTACATCCAAGTTAAAAGTGACTGACAGAACAGCATAATACAGCATGTAATATAAGTTGGCATTGAATCACAGAAAACAGTAACTATGTCATCTATAATTCATGGAATAATATTGCATTCTGTACAAGGTGTCTTATGTGTTTGTGTTTTAGGGTGAAGAAGGATTTCAAGGCTTTCCTGGACTGAAAGGTGAAAAAGGAGAAAAGGTAAGTCTGAGTTTTTATTAATTACATTGTCAAACTGAGAAGTTTGTAAGGGTACTGTGGAAGCTTTTGAAATCAGGCCATTTTTCAAGTGCTTTTTTTTAACCTCTGTATTTCTTGGTCTGTGGTAGCAAGATGTCAAGAAAAGTAGACTACACTGATGTGCAGTTTGTCTGCAAAGTAAAAGAAATCTTTGAACTTGTTTGACAGATATGTGGAGATTTTAAGGGTGTGAACACTGTGAAAGTCAGGCTATAAGACATGCTAATACCTCCACCTGTGGAAACACTAATTCTTCTGTGTGAGGCATGGAAGGTCAAAGGTTGTCATGTCCTGTCTTGCATCAAACACAAATACTGGAATTAATTGGTGTTTTGCTACTTGCTCTGTCAGCCTCTTTTAGGAAGCAATGATCCTAAACCATGCTTGCTGTATAGACTCTTGTTGTATTTTGAGAGTGGCGGAGGGCTATTTTGGTAAGAAGTGAATCCCCTTGAGTTAGAGCAGATCCTTAGATGTTAGAGGGACTGGGGGTGGCTGGACTCATCTCTTAACAGGGATACCAAATACTGTGGTAGCTACAGGCCCAGATTCACAAACAGTCTGACAGAACAGCCTTCAAAATAAATAGTTAAGTTCACGAATAGCATGATTTATTCCAATGCAACACTTACCAAGCAGGTTTCAAATGCCAGTACAGGAAATTCTCTTACTACAGTGTGGGGTTTTTAGCTAGCTCTGAAGTACAAATGCACAATCATCACCCACTCCAGAAGATGGGAGAGGGCCCTCAACCTCGGGGAGTCTCCTCAGGCAGTGTCCTGACCCAAGGGAAAGGGGTTCAGCCCATCTAGCGACCCAGAAGTTACAATGGAGTCTTCCCTCTCCCTTCTTTCCTCCTTAGTTCACTTTTTTTTACATTTAGGTAGAGCTTGGGTGGCTGTGGTCATACTTAATGTTGCTATTGATTGGTGAAAGAGTTTCTCACCTTCATTTAGAGGTACAATCGAAAATGTAGAGTGCATGTTCCATGAGAAGTAGTTGTACCTCGGAGGCGGGTAACTTTTGGGATGGAGATGTTTGTTGGAATTACAATGAGTAAAGTTCAAGCAAACTTCATCCGAAAGGAGCCATTTTCCACCCTTGCTGGCTCAGCACCGGAGATGTTATCGTATATCTCTCATTAGACAGCCACTGTGGGGCTTGTCAGCAGCCCAGCACAGGGAGTGCAACAGAGTTTGGCCGCACTGTCTTCACTCCGCTCCGTCCTCCCTTACTCCCCTTTGCAGCTGCGAGGAGGGCAGGTTGTGCTGCCCAGGGAACCGTGGAGGAGCAGAGTCCGTGCGTACCAGCCATCCTGGAAGTGGCAATTGTGTAGCACCCCAAGCAGGCCTCTGCAATGCCAAAACTTCTGTTAGGCCCTAGTTTTTCTCCAAGTCCCCTCTTTTCAAGCAATTCTTCCACAGACTACTATTTACTTTGGAGGCAAAAGTCCAAAATGCCTTAAATCCTACTTGTAGGAGAGATTTGGGGGATTTAGGCCTTTTACATGCCTTGTAAAATAGGCCATTGAGGATTTCAAGACAAAAACAAATTACAAACAAACAAAACAATCAAGTGAAACATAGCAAACAAGTTTATTCATAACAGAATTGCAGTCTGACTGTGTCTGCTTCCCGTTTGATTTTTTAATTTTTTTTTGTAAATACAGTTCAAAAGAAACTGCTGTAGTGCCTAAAACTAAAAACATAAAAATCATTCTCCATATACATTTGCTTGTATATTCTGCGTCTTTTTTCTTTCCGTTCTCTGTTCTTTAAATTGCCAGCTGCATACAGCAAAGCTTGGCTTTCTTCTGCGTTTGGTGCAGTCCACATTATCTTTGGTTCTGCCAACCTGAACAAATTTACTTCTGTTCATCCTAGCGCACAGATAGGTTTAAAAAAGTGAGGAAAAAAAGTTAAAAAAAAATAGTGCTCAGTTTTCTGTTTGTTTGTTTTATGACTTTGTGCTCTGAGATTGGCTTCCTGGTGGGTAGAGCAGTTCATCAGAATTGCTTAAGTTCTTGGGGCTTGTCTTCTGTTTGCTTTTAGATTAATTGCTTATATGTATTATAGTTGTGTCTACTGGCCTTTGAGGTTTAAGATGGATGTTGTAAAAACATAGAGTAAAAAAAATGAGCATTTAATGACGAGACAAAACAGGAGGTTTTCAAGACAATGGAATGGTGGAAAGGCTGAGAGCAGATAATAGTACGCTGATTCAAAGGTGACATGTCTAATTAGCTGCAAAGCTTTCGTATTAATTTATTTTTAAATGAGTTAAGTGGCTAAGAGTGCCTGGTTCCTCATTAGCAGCTCATCAATTGGCCATAGTGTGTTAATGTCAGCAGCAGCTCCTCCAGAAACTGTAAATAATAAATGTTTGCGTGGAAATGATTCTCCTCATTCCCTATTCTCGTCTTTCTGTATTACTCATGCCTTCGCGCTTGGTGCTGACGTTAATACTATGCTGATAATAATTCTGTTGTTGTTACAGGGGTCCCTGGGCTCACCTGGCCCCCCTGGGAAGGATGGAGCAAAAGGAGAAACCGTAAGCCTTTTTGTTCCTCCCTATAATCCTTTCTTTTCTGCATAAGCCAGGCAGTGGAAATCAATCTGTATTGACTGGAACATGTCTTGGGGATTTGTATGGCCATTTTAGGAGCAGCAGTAACAAATGGCAAGAGGTTAATAACACCAGCCTTCTCCCTCACCCTTTCGCAGTGGCTTTGAATGTCGTATGGATTAGCCACCCCCAGAGACTCCTGGGCCAGGGCTGTTGTAATTCATTAAGTCAAGAAGAAGGGGCAGGCTGGCAGCCCGTGCTTTGGGACCCGCTACTGCAGCTGTGTTGGTTAATAACTGCAGCCCCAAAGCTTGGCTGTTTGTTTTGAGGCTGGCAAGGAGTTATTGGCTGGTGGGGATGGTGTAGGGTAGATGTATGGGACTATCTTGTGCTTTCAGGAGCAAATGGGCAGGGATGAGAAAAATAGGCATCCCAGACCCAGAATGCTTGCCTCCCCCTGTACAGTGCTTAAATACTCAGAGCACGGGAAGAGCTGCAGGCTAGCTCCAAGGAAGATGAAACAAGCCAAATATTGCCTTTAACAGAATTTCAATTAAGGTAGAAAAAGACACATTATCCAGCACTTTACATAAGTTAGTTTTGGACTTTTCCTCCTTTCCCTTGCATAATCACTGGAGCTCATTCTGCCTGTTGAGCCTACCAGTCCTGATGGGCTATTATTCTAAAATGTTTGGGTTTGACTGCTCTCTTTTTGCCTCTGCTATTCTTGAGGAAAGACTTTATAATCTCTTTCATTTTTCCCTCTTGGAAGACATTTGATTGTGGCTGGAAAAACTTTTCTTTGCAAGGGCCGGAATGCACCAAAGTACTGGTACACAGCAGAAAACATTCAAATTTCTTGTCCTTGTCATCCTTTTTCTGCTTTCTGCCACACTTGACACTGGTCCCATTGACACTTGTCCCATTCATGCAGAGTACTTCCAGTTCTGAGGGATGAAAATGTTCCCAGATAGTTTCCAGGACTTATGTAGCTTTCTCACACCCTACCTGGCATGATCTGGGATCTGGCAGTGACATCCTGTAGTATAGTGAGCTAATATTAGGACTCGTAGATTTCTTACATGATGTGCTTATTGCACCAAAAGAGATCTAATTCATAGCATTATCTCCAAGGAATAAGCATTCCTTGGATGGTGAATGGAAGATGGTGAAAGCTTTTCAGTAGTTGGGGAACTCATTTCTTACTACTCAAGCTGCTATGTTTGAAGAGCAGATGAGTATTTACTTCAGTGTTCTTTTATCTCTTGCTGCTTTTATTTTTGTAAAGAAAGCACACTGCAAATTTCCAGATTTTTGGATAATGGTACTCAGTTCTGTAACTATCGGATACAGCTTTCATTTCTAAAGCTCTATATAATGATGGTTTTGAATCATTCTAGCCTGTACAAGAGTAGCATTTACCACTGATGAAATTGTTACTTACAGGGTGAACCAGGACAACCAGGAGAATTTGGACTGCCTGGGCCAGCAGGTCCAAAGGTGAGCTTTCCATTTCTGCTTTGTATGACTAGGTGTTTTTTTTTTTTTTTTTCCCTCTAACTTTTTGTATGTCTGGCTTTTAACCAATCTAATAATGGTATAGATGGTGAAAGAGAAGAGTTCATGTTTTGGAACCTGTAGATCTTCATGTCTTCAGTAAGCCCTCTCAACTCTCTGAGATTCAGTAGAACTATTATCCCTAGTCTACAAGTGGAAAAGTAAAATCATTGATGTTTTATGCTTCTACCTATTTAGAGAGCTTCCATTTACATCATTAGGTATTAGCATAGAGGTATGGTAAAGAACTTGTACTCTCTATCACTGGATTTTCCTCAAAGAAGGTGTTCATGAATTGGGATTTGGCAACACTTAGCTGAATATGGTATCAAGAACATGTCTAAATCTGTAAGTCTTTGTCAAGGGCAATTCTTTATTCTCCTTTCAAAATTTAAGCTTTTCCTTGACTTGTTCTCTCATAACTTCAGGTATAAATTGAAGCTGGTACGAATTTCATCTTTACAACACAAAAAGAAGATGGTGCGTCAGGCTGACCGTATTTCATTGGCATTGTGCCCAGCAAGTTCATGACAGCCTATGAAACCTGCCTCAAGGACAGCATACAAATTGCATAGTCTTTTGAAAGGTTTTTAAACCCCAAGTCCACTGTTGCAGTAGGAGCTTTATTGTCTTCAGCATGACAAAGAAGTTCAGTATAGAAGTCTCACAGTAGCATTTTCAACAGGGGGTAAATGACAACTATAAACTGTGTAGGTCTGGGTTGGTCTGAAAGGGTATGCTCCAGATATCATTTTGCCTGCCAGTGGCAGTCAGGAGCAGATGGGAATTAATTAGAATCATTACTCAGAAATGCTGGTCACCTGAGTCTGTCTTATCACCTAATACATACAGGCTTTCTCTGTGTTCTGTATGTTTTTTAATGGTAGCATTATAAGCCAGTAGGTTGCATGATACATCTGTCTCCTAATGGTATGAATTCTTCACCCTTGCTTTATAAGCTTTTATAGGCGAAACTCAGCTGAGGCATTTATCTTTACCTGTAGAAGGGCTTGATTCTGCAAAATGCTGCGTGTTTCCAACTGGGACTATGAGGAATCTCTAAAACAGAGCATATAGTTCAACAAAGTATTGAGGCAATGATGGAATCACTGTGCAGCACTAAGGACTGGGCAGGATAAGTGCTGCTGTGACTGAACACAGACACTGACTAGACGATGCCAAGTGTTCACAGTGAAGAGGTGAGCTCTGCTAGCCCCAGCCTCCCAGCTGGAGTGTCTAAGTATAAAATGATTGTTCGCTTTCACAGTGACTTTTATTTATTTTAATGGGCACACTGGCTGCATATAATGTCCTTGAGCTGGGTTCTGGACAGAGCTATTTTAAGAAACAATTCCTGTTTTGCTGACATGGCTTTAAACATAAAATATGGGTCATCACGCTCCTTTACCCCCAGTGTCAAACCCAACCACCTCACTGGTGTGGAACGGACCATGCTCATATGGGTTGGGGTTGGCGACTGGAAAGGTCACATCCCCAATTACTGCAGTAATAGTTGGGTTTTGTCAGATCACTTATCCTTATTTAAAATCATCAGCAGCAATACAGTGACTTTGAAACCTCGAGGTCCTACCCCAGGCTCCATGGAGAGCTAACTTGCAGTTTCTCTGGTGGGTTAGCATGCAGTTCTTCTCAGCTCAATCCATCTTCATTTGCATCAAGGCAGGCAAGAGCCGTGCATGCTCAGAAATTCAGCCAACTGCTTAACTACTTGGCTGAGGGATTTCTCATCTTTTGCCTTGATGGCAACTGTATGCGTTTTTTAAGGGGGTGCCAAGCAGTTTTTACAGACTTCATTAACTGTGTGGTGAAACTTCCAGTAACAGACATTTGGCAATTGCAGACTTCTGGTAAGAGCACTTGAATCCCCAGAGGTACCTAGATAAGTAAGGGTTACAGTAATGAAATGCCCTCAGCATCTCATGTCTAGCTTTACTGCTTGTGCTGCTCAGTGAAATCTCCAGGGGAGACTGTTCCCAGTTCAGTGTCCTCAGGGTAAAATTGTTCTTTTTTACTTCTCAAACTCTGTGAGTAAACTTCAGTGATCACCAAAAAGGAAGTCTGATCTTGGTGATTATGAGCAGGTATAGTAAAAGTAGGACTGTCAAAATAACCTTGTGCTATTCAATAACATCTTCCAATTACAGAAGAACCTGCAGTGATTTGGGATGACAAGATGTATCTATTGGCCACTGAAGAAGGTTCCTACATAAATAATGGAAGAAATGGCCTAAAAAAAGGGCTATACTGCAAGTCTCTCACTGCACAGTTAACAATTAAAGTTTGAATTTTTGAGACCAAACTCTGTACAATTCTGCAACTCATATTCAACTTTTTTTTTTTCTGTGCCTTTAATAGAAGGTTAAAGAGACTTTTAGTGGCTGTCATTGCTATGGCACTGAACTGACAGAGATATCTATACTTGATACAAAAAAAAACAAGGAAAAGAAAAAGAAAAATTTTAACCTTTGAAACATAAAGTATTAGGTGAGGCTTTCATTTTGGCTAATTTCCTTATTTCTGTTTGCTTCAGCTGTAGAAGGTCTAACACTTTACTGGTTTACCAGACATTATCTTAATGCAGGCCTTGAGTGGGATCAGGAAGCCTTCTCATCCAGACAAACCTATTTTTTTTTCTCATTATAACTTTCATTTACTGGAATTTATGTAACAGTCTGAGTTGAATTGGGATAATTTGGACAACTTAGAGCAGACTTCTCTTTCTGTAGGGGGTTTTGACCAGAGTGCAATAGCATTATTTTCCTGCAGGCTGAAGGCAGAGATTAAGTGTATTCCTGCTCTGCTTGCTTGCATGGTGCAAGTTTGGTCCTTAGGTGCCTAATGATGCAGAAACCCTAGAGCTGCCCATGTTGTCCATATATAGACCACTTCTGCTTCATGCTACTGAGTTTTTGAATTTCCCCTTGAGCTTGTGGGATGGTTTGCTTGCATGTAAGTGGGTTCATCCACTTTACAGTTGTGCTGATAAATTGTTCGTAAACTTCAGAACACAGTCCCATCCGGCAGGTTAGCTTTTAAAAAATAAAATCTTACCTGGTGGAAGGAGGGAGGACAGTTTTAGACTTTTTCTGCTTAAAACCACGATGCAACACTTGCCACGTACAGTCCAGCTAGCCTGCCAGACCTGTGCTTAACAACCATCTCAAATGAGATTGTCATTTGGTCTAAGGCAAATGTAAGCGGCGTGCATGACACTGCCAACCTCCTGGCCATTTGCATTTGGACAACAGAGCCCTGTTTCTGCTGAAAGCTCATTGCAAACTCACCCCATGTGTTTTTAATGTTGTTTTATTTTTTGTTTATTAATGCAAAGTCATTGATGCGAAAAAAATGATGTGAAACCCCACAATCATTTTAAAATAAAATCTTAGTCTCTTTAAAGCTGTATACATTACAGCATCCCAGTACAGGAATTAACTGGGGGAGGAGGGAGGAGAAAGGAAAGTGATGTAAGGAACAACATGTTCAGTAAAGCAGGTGATCTAACAGGGCCTGCTGGATTTATGTTGTCACCAGGCTGTTCCTGTGGGATTACTCAGAGGATCCCAGAGCATCTGCAGGTATTGTAGGCATGCAGAAGTAGCCCTCTGCATCTCAGTTAATGCTCTGCAGAGTTAGTGTGTAACTGGCTGAAGAATTGCTGAAATACATCTGTTTCTTTTTTATTACCCTGTATTGGGTTGAATTTTTTTGTAATATTTTTCAATATATCTTTTATGTATTTGGTGAATGTAGTCCCAATATCTTCCTTCTCACTGAAACTTTAAAGCAGCTGGTAACATTTGAAGTTCTTTGAGTATGGCCTTTGCTGTGGAATTTGCAGCCTTATTCCACTAACAAGTCTAGGAGGTGAGACCAATCATTATATGGACAACAGGCAGGGAAATGACAAAAGAGTGCAACTACTGCGCTTACCCAAACTTCTGAAACAACCTTCATAGGAACTTACACATATCGCTTTGCAGGGCAGGGTTGAAAGCAGAATGATAGAACTGAAGAATTTGACGTAACTGCTAAAGCCTCCACAAAGGAAGAGATTTGGGTGTCACTTTGGGCAAGTAGCTGGAAAGCTGGGCAATGTTTTGCCTAGTGGCACTAAGGTAGTCAAGAAGCCTCAACAGCCTGCTGTGAGTCAAGGAGGTGCAAGTTTAATATCTGACTTATCTATTTTATTCTTCCTCTTTTATGTGAAAGAGTTTCTGTTGTTTTACTGTATCTAAATTCCTTACCAGGGATCTGAAGGAAAACAGGGTCCTCCAGGAATTAAAGGCTATGTAGGAGCACCGGTAAGTCATGACTTTCTTATTACATTTTGTCAGTGAAACTTTCTCCACTTTTTCAATGTGTCTGTTCACCTATCTCTTTTATTAAGTGGTATAGGGTATGTCTGACAACTTATCTCTAGTATGTCCAAATAGTGACATTTTCTCATCTTCACTGATTTTTTTTCTGACTTTTTGAAAGAGAGAGTAGACCTCTTGCCAGTAGAGAACTGTCTGTAGAAATGACTTGATTACCAAGATAACAGCTGGGGATTTTCTGATGCTCCCTATGTAGTGCAATTGCTTTGGTTTATGTTGACGCACCGTTTATAGGTTGCTTGAAAGCTTCATCACAACACCAAGCAAAAATGCCACCCCTCAGCAGGTTTCCAATCACGTTTTCAAAACTATCAGGGTATATAGCACTTTGAGCTCAGGAGACAGACCTACCTTTAAGAAACAGATAGCAAAGCCAAAATAAATCAGATGACTATCCAGTTAGTGCCTCTGTCTCGTGGTCTCACCTTGGTAACGAAGGTAACCTTTAAGTTGGTGTTGCAAAGGCTGATTGGATTTCCTGAAGCTTAGTTACCTGACTATACATCAGTGTATGGCAGCCACATACCAGGCACACTCATGCACTGAAATATTTCTCTGTGCTGACCAAGTTCTTGCTTGACAACTTGCTACAGAGAGGCTCAGTGTTTCCAAAAGAGCTTTGCCCAGGTGTGTGCCCTTTGCCTTAGTGTCAGGCTGAGTTGTATTGGGGCTGAAGGAGCTGAAGGGATTAAGGGAGTGACTTTATAGAGCCTTATCCCATTAATGAGAAAAAGGACAAAGTTATGAGACGGCTTCCTTCCTGCTCCTTTGTGTCATTACTTTGGGTGAAGCAAAGCACTCAGTGCAGTGCTTTTGGTGCGCAATTACCCAACACCTTATTTCCATCATCAGACTTGCATTTGGCTTGGGTTGCTGGTGAGTAGCAAGGCTGCAATCATCCTGTCACTGTACCTGGTGGTTCCATAGATGTTAGTGCATTAAAGAAGTCATATGTTAAACCTCTTCCCATCTACTTTTTAGAAGTAGTGAGACTGTGGGAAGTGATAAATGCTCAGTTAAGGCCTTTAGAGATGGACGGGGTTGCACAGAATTCATCCACCACCATTCATGGCTTAAAAGCTGAATATATTAACAATTAACTAAATTACCCTACGGACCAAATAAGACCAGACAGGCAGTTCTCATCAGCTTGGAGGTGGACCTGCACTATAGTGTAAAGTAGACTAAAGTTTAAAGTGGAAATGTGTTAGAATAGGAAATATTTGAGTTTTGGCAGTTTTGAAGAGTTTTCCATTGAGACTGAGTGTATTTGTCTGATTATAGTCATTAGTTGATTGCTCAGTTGCTATAATAAAGAGAAAGTGCAAGGTGTTTCCTGAACCAAGGGAAGGTGAAATCCATGCTTGCTCCCTGAGTTGATTCCCTGTGCTATCCTTCATGAAGTGAAACCCCAGCAATGGGGCTCTTGTGTGCCTGGAAGGAGCTGAATTTACACAGTTCATCTGAACTCTGACATTTTATTTCCAATTCAGAATTGAGCATGAGCTCTTGGGACAGAGATTAGATAGTGTTTGTCAATTCTTAGAGATACCTATTTTCTGCCTAGTTGCTTTATTCAAAACCACTAGGAATGAGCATTTTTCCTTGCTAATGTAATAGAAGACAACACAGATGGAAAAATCTACCTAAGTTCCCATTGTTTTATGAGCACATGAAAATTCAGAGCAGTGGGTGGTTTCCAAAATGTCTGCTTCTGTGGTGCATTCACTATCCTTCCTCACTGCTGCAGGTGGGAGGGACATGTGTCTGGTGGAAATATAGTATTACAGATGTTCTTGGCCTCACAGGTCACCCCCGCTCTGAGAGTCTCCTTAGACAATGTTTGTGGCCAAGTTTGAGGACTGGCAATATGGAAAAAGTCCTTGAGGTTAACTTGAATAGATTGTGCAGACACAACCAGTGGTTTGGTGACTAAACCAGTTCCTCCTTAGAGAACTTCTTGGTTTAAACTTTTTAATCTCTATTTTTTTTTTCTTTTTTTTTTTTCTTTTTAGGGTCTACAAGGAGAAAGAGGAGAAAAGGGAACGCGTGGAGATAAGGTATTTCTATGGCTGGCTGCGTGCTAGGAAAAGACAAGCTGCTCTTCCTCTGCCCTGTTGGTTCTTTGCATGGGGAAAAGCCTTGACCAGGCTTTGGGGAAGAATGATGGGAAGTCTTTGCACCATTCTGAGCTTCCCAGTGCTGTCAGGAAAGACTTCCCATGGGAGTGTAGATCTATGCTGAGCCAGTCAGGGACGAGAGAAAGGGATAGGCTGAAGGGATGTCACTGGGGGCAACTAGTGGAATGCATCACCTGGGAGCCCTAAGTGACCACCCGTGACAGCATTTTCCCATTGTGCCATCAGTTTCTTGCAATTTCAAGCTTTCTATGTACATTCCAGTATTCTCCCATCACTGTAACTCAGTTTTGAATCAGTTTCAGGTACTTTTTCTGTTAAAGGCTTGACTGAACTGATGCTGCTCCCCAGTTTTCTGCTCTTGTCTGGGAGTACCAGAATACGCCTTGATTACATGTCAAAGCATGGGTGTTTTTTGAACTAATGAATTAATCAAGTAGCACTTTGGTATTCTCTACCACCCAAAGTGATCACTGAAACCACAACCCCGTACTGAGCAGGAAAGCTGCATGCAGTGTGATACAGCCTGGGAAGTGTCCTCAGTGCAGTCCAGGCAGCAAAGGCAGCTGTTGGCCTTTGGTGGAAATTAAAGCAGGCTGTAACTGTTCCAGTTCACAACTGCCTGGCAGTGTTTCTGTGCAATGGATAGAAATCACTGAATATGGTTTTATGGGAAAGAGGCCAAGTGAGTGTTAACAAGCACCTGGGCAGGTACAAAGCCTTACATTATTGCAGTTTGCTCATTGTATTCGTAGAGATGTCAGGTGCGCTGACCTCCGGATGCTTCTCAGAAGTGCCTGCAAGAACACATTTTGCTTCCACCGTAAGGAGAAATGAGCGCTGCTCCGGAGCTGTCCTACAAGCTGGGGGAGATGGGGCAGAGCCAGGCTCTCAACTGACAGAAGTAGCCCCTTTTCTTAGTTGAGCAAAACAGGTTTGGGGCACATCTTGCTAGCACTAAGTGATTTGCAGTGCTGCGCAATGGCCTGTTTGTTTATGCTCCAAACCAGTCCTGAGACAGGACTGTCTCAGTGCTGACCTGGCAGGTTTGCCTGTGTTCAAGCTCTTTGGTGATACCTTTGGTGATACCTGGCTGCATGTGTTTGTGCAGAAGAGTTACTAATTTGGCCTTCTTCCCATTTTCCACTCTTCATCTCCTTGTGGAAAAGAAACCCTGAAATTTGCACCCTGGCACCTACTGGCACAAATGATCAGTATGTCCTTAGTGTGAGAGAGTTTTGGCTCACTGTATCCTAGAGTGTCTGCTCCCAACATCCATTCTGTTTATGATAAAGTAGGGATGACTGTATTTCATATTATCTATTCTCACCACTGCAGCTGCAGCAAAATGCTGGATTTCACTTTATCTTTCCCTGTGCCTTTGCCTCAGCCCTTTGCAGGACTGGTTCAATGTTGTGTCTAGCCAGTCCCTCAGCTGCTTTTTCCTGAGGCAAGGTTGTCTAATCAGCTGGAATATTTGGCTCCTGGAAGAAAATACATCTTTCTGACATCACCGTGATGGGAGAAGAAGTTGGAACAGTGAGTGAGCAGACAGCTGACTAAGCTAGAGAAAGATTAAAGTATGAAAGAAATGAATTGGATTTTGTTTCATTATCAGAATATGCAAAATTTAGAGCCTCTTTTTTATTTTTGTTATTTATTTTTATTTCCCTCCTTCTTGGAACAGCCATGAAAGCCTAGATCACTGCTGCAACAATTGTGCTTTGATTTATCAGGCTTTGATGCTGTTCTCACCACATACACTGCCATTGCTTTATCTTCTACCAGTTGGGACTTCTGTGAAAACAGTGGGCGTTAATGTGACGGGCCAAGTATTTCCTTGTCTGCTCTTCAGTCCGTAACTTGAATACAGCCACCTACACAGCCTGTG